AACAGCACATGTAATATCTGATGGGGAGGAGTGCTTTGGTAAATAACGCAATTTTATTCCAATAAGCTCCGGCAGCCGTTTCTTCTATCCCCAGGAGGTTTGAGTTTGAGCAAAGTTCGGAATATTGTAACAACAAGCTGAGGAACGCCCACGGCACATTCCTCTGAGGCCGCTGAGGACTTGGCTTTGAAAACCTCTTAGAAATCTCAGCAGTCCGTCTTTCCCACAGAGAAGAAAATGCTGAAGACTTATGTTGGTGTCTGCAGACTGCCAGCAAATATACAAACACTGATGGTAAGACAAAAGCCAGGAAAAAGGAACACACCCTCAATAAAGCTGATTTCAGACGTGACCTGCACTCTTACATTTCTCCCGCATGTGAAAACACAAATGTCCAAGTGAGAGGCTCCAGACTTTCTCAAGAGTTGCTCCGGCCAGTCCCCTAGTGAGAAGTCTGGGTAATGTCCGAAATGAGCTGATGTGATGTTTTTAAAAACAAAGAGAACACAGATATCTCCACACACATAGAAGACACTCAGATGTGGAAAGGGCTGACGCTGGTGTCAATGTGCTGTAAACAAAAACGTGTGATGTCCGTGACTGAATTTATACGTCATGTGCTGCCTCTGCCTGCTGCACCAGCCCTCACCTGAACGCTCCAGAGATTTCTGTGGTGTTAAGAAAGTGTCTGAGCAGAGAATCTCCTGCTGCATTGTTCCTGTGTGAAAGGAAAACTCTGGAGAATGTCCGGACATCCTCTGGAGTTCATCCAACAACTACAGACCAGCAGGTACTTTTTCGAAGACTAAAACATTTTCTTACTTTTGAGACTTTCCAACTTTTCAGCCAGGTCTTCTTCATCCCTGTATTTCTGGTCTTCCAGATATTCCTGCAGGAGAGAGGGAAGGAATGAATACCGTGAAAATGATCAGGAAAAAATGTTTTAAAGGCTTTAAAAGAAAGTGAAACTCCTTTAAACATTCTGAGCCCTTGGTTTCCCTGAGGAATCCCAGCAGAGTAGATAGCATCAAAGAGGAAAGAGGCCCACATACAAAGTACAGCTTTACAGACTTTAAGATGATTGCGTCCTGTCAGATGTGTCAAAATCTACTTGAGAGTGATGACTCACAATCGTATCATGTTCCTCCCCCGTGGACTGTAATTACTTATCAGTGTGATGATTAAGTGGAACACCTCACAAGGGTGCAAAGCAGTGGAAAGAGCCTGAAGGAGGGAGTTGTCCTGATGAAATTATAATGACGCATTCTGCCGTGATGGGATTCAGCTCCGGTCTTTTTGAAAAAGAGGAGAAAAACAGAGAGGGAGGTTTTCTCTGCGGTGACCTCGGCGTGTTGGTCCAGCCCGTAATTAAGAGTGAAAAGGATAAACACGGCTGGTGGATGTTTATCAGGGACACCTGACTCAGCGCTGCAGAATCACTGCTGCAGCCTCTACACACACAGGAATGTCCTGTGTGTCCAAGAATGTGAGTGTGTTTGAACAAGTGCAGTGCCAAGTATTACAAAGCATGAAATCCGTCTGTATCAAAGTATATTTCACAATACAGAGGTCAAACACGGTATATCAGTCAGCTGGAGAGTTTGTACGGATCTGAATTATTCAGCTTTGTCTATAAAACATCCAAAAATATTGAAAAATATCTGGGAAAAAAAGATTTCAGAAACTAAACCTATATATTCAGCTTTTTTTCTTGGAAAGTGATAATGTTGCTGTATAATGTAATGATTGATGGAATAGTTGGTGATTAGTTTTATTTTAATATACAATTTGGCTAAATATTGCATTTCCTGTAGCAATGATCATCACATTTAAACAGGCTTGGGTCGCCTGCAGGTAAACAGTCTTTGTGGAGAGCATGAGATATTCACTGTCTGAACTGGAAGCCCCAAAATATTAGCCGATGCCCCAGAGGCTAAATCATCATCTGACGATAGCCGCTGGAGAAGAAGCCGAGCTGATGTTTTAAAATGTTCTGTCTCGGTGAGCAAAGATTCTCTGTTATATATGATAGACAATGTAGAAACTTTACACATTTGTATGAGTGAAGAAGGAACCAGTGGATTTTAGGCCTTTCTTCATCCTATTTCTTCAATTTATCAAAAGAAATATCGATTGCTGAATAACCAGCCTCAGCAGTGCTGGGATCCAAAGTTTCATTCCCACTGGATCCACGGATGCAAACATAAGAGATGACAACCCCCCCTGCATGTAATCACAGTATGGCAGTTATTTTTAGCTCTATACCTCCCTAAAGAAATGTGGGAATCATTTCTGCAGAACACAAATAAAAGACACCAGAACACAATCTGAGTCTGTACTGAGGAAGCAGAGAGTGTTTTGGAAACGAGATGTCACATGAGCTCCTGGCTGATCTCTTGCAGCGACCTGGTTTCTCATGTGGCCGCAGGAGGCAGCTGATGACAGGCAGGAGAAGGGAGGGAAACACAGATTATACACACACACACACACACACACACACACACTGATAGTGTGTGGGAGCTGCTGCAGAGTCATCTGGCGGAATGAGGCCTGCTGTGAGACAAAGGGCTCATTCAGACACCTGTTATCTGAGGGTGTGTTCCACATAAACACCATTTAACCACTTTGATGTAGTTAACGTGTTTAGATGAGCCACAGCTCAATGTGATCAGAGGGGAGTGTGTGTGTATGTGTGTGTGTGACAGCAACAAGTAGTGACACGAGCCTGAGGGTGAAATCAATAAAATGCACCAGGAGCATCCCTGCAGTACACGTGTGTGTGTGTGTGTGTGTGTGTGTGAGGCATTCTAGGTAGCTGGTTAACCACATCACTGCTACCACACACCACACTGCAGTGAAAGGGTGAATCACCGGTGTTGCGTTCACTAACAAGGCCAATGCCGAGTCAAGTGTGCTCCTGAGATTCAAATCCCCCCGAGGAGGCGTTAGAGCCGCTGGAGGCGGGTAATGAAGGCAACTCTCCTACCTTGTTGATTTCCTCCAGCTTCTGTCTCTGCTGCTCCTTCAACAGTCCGAAGGTTTTCCCTCCTGGAAGAAAACACTGAGTTATTTCAACAGCAGGCTTGTTTACACCGACACCAGCTTATCTGAGCCCGGAGCTGCCGGTCGGCCTCTGATGCTCCATTGTACACAGCCTCAGTTTAAGCTAGCGGTGCACGCAGCTATCACACACTGGATGTTTTGTTCATCACCTTGGACGTTTTGACTTGCAGGCATCTTTTATCTGCGATGTTTGGATCCAGAGAAAAGAGAAAGATGTGCGTGTGTGTCCGGGCCGGAGAGGCTGCCGCTGCCGGGCGATGCTCCTGTTCTCCCACACTGAGCGGACTCAACGGGCAACGGTACCCGGGTCAAGACGGACACATTCAGAGAGGGACGTCCGGTCAGTCCTTTCAAAATAAATGTTATGATCGTGTGTGTGTGTGTGTGTGTCAATATTAAATCTGAAGTCGACAACAAATATACAGCTGCAAATCAATCGTTTTATGAGCAATTGATTTCAATAATCTTTTAATGTATGATTACATAATTAAATGACCATAATAAAGGTTGAAGTGAACGTTATTGAAGTTGAGACCATACAACAAGAAGTGCACAGCAGAGCAAAAAAAAAGTGTTTGTCCCAGTTTCATGTGCAAATATAAAAAGAAAATATCCTTTTTTTATCCTGGATAAATTACAGAGGCAATTCTTTTATTGTTTACATTTTTGATAGTTCATTAGATCAAGTTATATTTTTAACCCTGAAGAATACGAGTATAGGTACATGTCAGGCTATAGCTTATATATAGAAAAGGTAATTATTACTTTAGCTTATCATCTTTAAATGATGTAAGTGTGCTAATGTGTCTATTTATTAATGGTTGAGTTAACACAAGAGTAGTTTTGTTTTAAGTATGTTGTTGTATGTTTTTTACCCTATTTGCTCTTACTTTTTCCTCCCCACCTTTGTATGTTGAGTGGGTCTATAAATGCAAAAATCATAAATAATTGAATATTTATCTAATTTCCAGCTGAAATAGAAATTTCTCTATTGTTCTGAATGGATTCTAACAATCCACAAAATGATTAGTTTGTGGATGTCACTTCCCTTCCAACAGCCTTTCTCTGCCTGTTTTATTTTGATGACGCAGCCTGATCAAATATAAATATATATTTTGTGTCATAAATACTTTGTCAAGTCACAACCCAATATATTTTAAGCACGACAGTACCAATGATAATTTCGTTTCTTTCAGCAACACCTCTCTATTGTCATATGCTGTAGTGTCATAACATGCATGCACATTAAAAATAATTAACATATGTCTGCCACAATTGAAAAAATCTATAAATTCATATCTTTTTTTTCTGATGAAACGTTATAAACTCTTATTTTGAAGTCTGAAACACCCTTATTCCGGTATCACTGTGTTGAAACTCCATCACATCAGTGAATGATGCTGATGGAGCATTTCTTTACTCCCGGCTGCCATCGTGTGGTTCATAAGTAAACTGCACATATTGAGAGTGACAGATGAGTTAACAAAGTTCATTTCTATCAGAAGAGTCAACTTTCATAAAAGTCCAAATCAGACCTCGGCCACATATACAAATAACATTTATATGAATAAATTAAAAACATTTTGTCACACTGGTAAATAAGTAAATGGAATATTAGTAATAATGAAAGAAACCATAACAGTTACTTAAAGAACTCAAATTGTATCAGTAACTCAGGAAATATTGAATGAGATACATTTTAATGATTTCAAATGTAACCTAACAGGAAACACATTCAGAACTACATACAGAAATTAACCATCCAGTACTGTGTGTCTGGGGGTAAAGGGGTTAGAGATGCACAACCTCCGTGTCACTGTCTCTGGGAATGGGGTTAAACTATTTCTAATGTCCTCCATCTACTGCCCTGGGCACATTCTCTTCTTTCTATACATTCTCCTTTTATTGAATGTGTCTGTGTGTGAAACTCACCAGCCTTCTGACACGTGCAGAACTTTGTGGGCCAGTTTTCAGACTGCAGCAGGACGAGGAGCACTGAGCAGCACACAAACCTCTGAGGCCACTTTTTACTTTAAGTATTTCACGCCTAAATGAAAATTACCAAAAAAAAAAAAATCTTTACATTTGCATTTATTCATTAATGTAGTTTATTTATCAACCTATGCATCCAATACTGTTTTGAATGGAAAGGAGAGCCGCAACATGCAACTTCACCACTAGATGTCACCAAATTCCACACACTTAACCTTTATGCTTCATTTCACTGTATGATATTAGTATTGATTTGAAGTTTGAATAAAAGAGTTTCTCATATGGTTTCTTTCCTCTCACTGTGCAGCCTGAAGTTCTCAGACAAGAAGCTGAAGGCCTCTGTATGTTTTATTTCCTGTGAGTCATACATCTGTTGAATACACACCCTTTAATTCCAACCCACTGCGCTCTCCATCTCGTCTGTCTGCTGCCGGAAAGTTCACCACCTGAGAGGAGGACAGAGGTGGAAGGTATGAAATCAATTCCTGTCTGAACACAGTCATGATGAAGAGCGGAGGGGATGACACACAGTGGACTACAGGGGCTCTGAGCTCACACCACAGGGACAGTGTTGGATGACTCACTGAGTTTTTGATTCACTTCTTTATCGACGTCGGGTATTGATTTAGAATGATGAATGTTGGACAGAATAAAGTGTCACAGGTCAGATGATTATCAAATAATCAAACGTCAATCAAGTTCATCAAATCAACTGACATTTTATCGCTTTACTCTTTCCATTCTCATGAGTTTCATCAATTCACTTGTTCTCAATTTTTTTTTTTTGCTCTCAGCCCGGAAGCCAATTTCCTGAGAATATAAATGACAATTTTAGCGTCGTAAATTATGAACAATGAACGTAAGATGGAGAAAATTATGAAACACAGCTTTGTCTTCATATTGTAAGTGTTTTGATCAAATCAGTTTCAAATGAGTCAAATCACTTGGTACTTTATTACTTCATTTCCTTCCACTACACATGTTTCACTGCTCTATTTTTCAATTCACATGCATTTTCATCACATCGATTCTAATCAGTTCATTTTTGTTACTTCCACAACACACACACACATTCTATGGTAAAGAAAACAACAATTCATACAGTTTTGATGATTACACACCAGTGAAAACATCACTAGGATTATTTTATATTCAATTTATGCCAAATATCTTTCACTTAAATCTTACACACTGAACCTTTAAGACCAAACCTTGCCAGAATTCCATTAAACAATCAGAATGACACTCAGTAGAGAGCGTTTACACATTTAAAATCGTTAGAACCTGACATGTATTCAGATCTGCACCAAGTTTCACACACTCATAAATGTCAATCCCCTAAATGTGCCAGTTGTTTTATCTACATACATAAATTATTTCCTGACAGATCAAGAAAATGATGAAAAATGCTCTTTCTTCCTGTGACATCCAGAGTAAGGTGAGGACCCAAATGTGGAGGTCACACAGCAAGGCAGGTAATTGTGGGATCTTAATAAAAAGCAAAGTCAAAGTCCGAAAAAAATCAAAAAGCTACAAACCAGCGGAACCAAGGCTCAAAGAAATCAAGGGAAAAATCAGACCAGAAGCATAAGGTATAAAAAAAAGAAAGCGAAACACAAAAGGAGACAGAGGAAACTGAAGTGAACTAAATGTCCATACTACAGAAAGATTCACCAGGTAAACCAATAATCCACCAAAAAGTAAGAATACAAAGAGTCTCTTAAAAAATTCAGAACGGGCAGAATCACAACACTTGTTACGTTAAAGAAGGTGAAAACAGAAATCCTGGATCTTTGTCCAGATCTGCACCAAAACGTGATCTTAGCCCAAGTATCATCCTCCCACCGAGTTTCATAGAAATCTGTTCAGGAGTTTTTACTTACTCTCAAACAAAACAACCAACAAACAGACAGGAGTGAAAACATAACCAGTCGTTCCCTCACTCTCACTGTCACAGCTGTAGTACGACAGCTGCATCCGACTGCATCACATTATATACGGGACTCTGCTCTTGGGATGCTCGGCTTTAAATAAATGATGACCTGCTTAGTCGACAGTGATATGAAATAAAACACACTGCGCAGCACTTTCAAATTAAAATGTATTGCCCGCCCATTCGTTTTCAACTTATGTCATGTTTCTGGAGATGATCAGGAATGCGCTGCCTGCGGATGCGTTTGAATATTTTATGATACATGTCGCCGACACGCAGACTTGTCACACACGCATCTCCATGGTATCCTGCTCGTACAATATTGGTCTCAGTGAGATCCAATTAAGTTATTTGCTCTCCAGAAGTTGAGCCTGCTCTGTCTTTTTATGACTAAATGTGACATTTTCTGAATATTTCCCTTTGGATGCATTTAAAATCACCACAGCAGGTGATAGGATGTTACACTAATGTTAACTGTCAACAAGGTTTTGTAAATCTGGTTAAATAGCTTCATGTTCTAAAGGTCCAGTGTGTAAGATTTAGCTGAAAGGGATCTATCGGCAGAAATTTAATGTAGAATAATCCTCATGATGTTTTCATTAGTTCGTTTCATCTACATTGTATGAGTTGTAGTTTTCTTTACCCCAGAAAATACCCTTTATATTTAAATACTTTATATTTACATCGAGGGGACCCTCTCTACGGAGGCCACCATGTTTTTTACATTAGTCCAGACTGGACAAACTAAACACCTTTTGAGTTTTTATGACAATTAAAGGCTACTACAGTTTCTTCTTCATGTTTGGAAGGAGAGGGTGAGGTGAGGGGTGTTCAGCTGCAACATGCTATTTCAACACTAGATATCACTAAATTCTACACACTGTACCTTTAAAGAATTTGACAATCATTGCACCACTACTGTCAAACTTCATCATCTTTGCATTCAACCTAAAACAAGCTTCATAAACATCAGTCTGCAAAAAGATTTGAGAAGTAAATAACTCAAAAAGAGGAAACATCTCAGTCTTTGTTTGAAATTGTTCTTTTATGGATGTTAAAGCCTTAAAACACACAGCTCCCTCCTCCGTCTCATCCACCTCCACTGCTGTCCAACTATTCAAATCGTGTCCTAAATTTAAACAACTCTAATCAGATTTTGTATGTCACTGGAAAAGTGTCAAAATAAGTGCAGATAGCACAGAGGCTACATGCGACCTATTTTTTTGAGTGCTGCTGTTGATGGACAATAATCTCCCACAATTCAGTTCACAAAGGAAAATACAGGAGCTGCTCACAGCTGGAAACATTGTGAACAATTTGCTGCTGCTGCTGTGACAACTTCAGAGACGTCCCAGAAAAAAAAAGTAATTCAGACTGAAGACATTTTATTTTCTCTTTGTTAAACCCAACAGGAACTGGGATTCCAACGTCAGAATTAAGAATTGCTGTTGTAAAATGGTAAAAGTAAATCATTTTCATGTTTAACGGCTAAATCCATGTAATATGGAGATTAGTGTGATACTTTCGATGAAGAATTTGAATACAGTATCACTTTGGGACATGCTGACAGAAACACTACTGTTTAATATGCTAATGTTTTGTATAATTACACGAGTACTTTCCATGTTCGACATTTTAGTTTCGCACGTTTACATTTGCAGGTGAGCAGCTATTCTTTTTTTAACTGAACAGCATAAATGTCAGCAGATTTTGAGCAGCTGTACTCAGGTTGAGCGATTGCTGCCAACAGCACAGCTAAGTAAATACCAAGAGACAGACTAATGCATTGTTTTTCTTGTTTTTTTACAGGAGATGTGTTGACTGTAAGAAAACACAGAACTAGAATGGCACTCAGCAGAGCGCATACCCCCAACAGTCCCCTTGAATCCGATCAAGCTGCACCAAATTGCACTCGCTCATAGAAGTCAGTCCGGTACACATGCTCTATTTTCTCATCAAGATCCATGAAACATAAGTCAATCTTGCCTTGAGGTGACAGTTATAACCACTGATATACGGCTGATGTGGAATTATGTGGAACGATCCAAACAAACAGTGGCTATAACATTAAAATGAGACAGATGAAGTATAATTCAAACTCCAGACTCTAACAATAGAATACAAGGAGTTGAAGATTAAGCTTGGATTCATGGATCCCGAGAATGTAAAAAAAGTGATTGAGATCTGCACCAAAATGATCGGAGTTCCTCTGTGTGATAGAGTGAGACACGCTCCTCCATTAGAGTTTCAGTTCACATGGCCCTGGTTGTTGTTTGTTGAACGTCCCCTGAGATCCCCGGGTCAACAGGGAACATCTGGTGGTTGAAGGAGTCAAAGGTGCGAGAGCCGTGGAGAACGACGGAGCTCCAGCAGAGTCTGGTGTTTCACCGGATCAGAGGAACCGGCTCCGACAGACATGTGCATGACTGGTAATGAGAAAGTTTCTTTGTGTCTTTGAATGTTTGAAAAGAAGAACAAGGTGAAAAAAAATCTGTAAATTGATGTTCTGACTCTGACCGCAGGTGGAGGGGGGAGGGTGAGGAGGGCGGGCGGCAGGTATGATGATGATGGAAATGAGCTTTCAGGCGACAGAAATGTTAATGCTGAATTCCACGGGTGGAGAAATTTAGGCTGCCTGTGAATTGGGTCAAGGGTCAAAGGGTAATTGCATCCTCGGAGGGTGTCAAGCTTCTTCTCGGAGCAGGAGACAGTGAAGAGGGATGAATGGCTTCAGGGAGCTGAGGTGAGGGAAAGGTTTTTTATCTGAAACTACAGGGAGCGTGGTGGAGAAAGTGAGCGGAGAGGGAGGGATAGTGTGTGTTTCACTGAGTTAACAGGAGGGAAGACATTAGCAGGGCGGCGGAGAGCAGAATGAGGACAGGACAGTGTCCAACACGTCCATGACACAGAAACAAAAGGAAATAGGGCTATTTAGTTTAAACAGTAGCATCATCATTATCATATAGTATCATTATTTTATGATATATAGAGAATACATAAACTAAACCACATGTGTCAAGTCTTGGGGATGCATTCGCAGATGGAAGCAATTTAAAACTGAGTCAATGTCTGTTTGTTTGTTTGTTTGAGAGACATTACCATGAAACTTTTCTTTAACATCTTGAGATAAGGTGTTTGACTTCCGAGTGTGTAAAATTCAAAGTGGTTTGATCGAGTATGCGCTGAACCCAGTGCCGTTCATGCTTCAATATGATTATAACAATATATTTGTGATTCTGGTCATGCTTCAATTTCTGTCACATGTTTAGTATACATTTTTGTTGTATGACATGTTTGTGTGTGTTTTATACAATAAAGACAATAGAGTGAAAAAATGTTCTTAACAAATGTTTTTTTGTTGATTTCCCAGAGAATAACTCATGGATCTTAATAAAGAAAAACTATCTGACAAGTTTAGGGGACTGATATTCATGAGTGTAGAAATTTGAAAGTGGTTTCATAAGGGGACTGCTGGTGTGTACCACATGAGGGCAGCATTGACTCACACTGCTGTTGCCTGTGTAAAAGTGGGGCCTCGTTCACAGTCCCTGCAGGGAATTGTTTCAAATGTAAAGGGAATGAGACACAAAACATATTGCAATAGATCCCGACATTACAGTAAAATGGGAATCATGATAACACAGAGGAATAAAGATGAGCAATTCAGACCTGTTTCTATTCG